GGTAGATATACCTGTGTATTGTGTAATAAGACATACCTGTACTGTGAGTAGATTTACCTGTGTAATAGGTAATAAGACATACTTTTACTATGGATAGAAATACCTGTGATTGGGTAATAAGACATACCTGTACTGTGAGTAGATTTACCTGTGTACATGTCTAACTGTGTAGTTAGATATACATGTGCATTTGGTTATAAGATATACCTGTACTGTAGGAAGATACACCTGTGTAGTGTGTAAAAATGTACCTGTACTTAGGTAGATATACCTGTGTATTGTGTAATAAGACATACCTGTACTGTGAGTAGATTTTCCTATGTATTTTGTAATAAGACATACCTGTACTTTAGATAGATATACCTGTGTATTGGGTGAAAAGACATACCTGTACTGTGGGGAGATATACCTGTGTATTTTGTAATAAGAGATACCTGTACTGTGGGTAGATATACCTGTGTATTTTGTAATAAGACATACCTGTACTTTAGATAGATATACCTGTGTATTGGGTGAAAAGACATACCTGTACTGTGGGTAGATAAACACATGTGTAATGTATTTTTGACAGTATATATTTCCAGTTCCTAAGGTCAAAGTCAAGGTCACTAGTACTAAAAATAGAATTGGGAATATACTGTAAAAAATACATCATATAAGGCCCTTACAGAAGGCCAATTTTCAGTAATTTCACAAGATGGTACATGTGATATAGGGCTTTAATAGGCTTCGAAGGTCAACGTTGTCGTTACTTTAAAATAGAACAGGGCATACATACACTGTCAAAGGTTTATTGTAAATGGTCCTTTCTGAACAGTCAATGATCACTTTTGCTTTTGCTTGGTGCTTATACATTAGATACACTGTCAGGCATAAAGTATGGGAGATACACTGTCAGGCATACAGTACGGGAGATACACTGTCAGGCATACAGTACGGGAGATACACTGTCAGGCATACAGTACGGGAGATACACTGTCAGGCATACAGTACGGGAGATACACTGTCAGGCATACAGTACGGGAGATACACTGTCAGGCATACAGTATGGGAGATACACTGTCAGGCATACAGTACGGGTGATACACTGTCAGGCATACAGTACAGGAGATACACTGTCAAGCATACAGTACCGAAGATACACTGTCAGGCATACATTATGGGAGATACACTGTCAGGCATACAGTACGGGAGATACACTGTCAGGCATACAGTACAGGAGATACACGGTCTGTCAGGCATACAGTACGGGTGATAAACTGTCAGGCATACAGTACAGGAGATACACGTTCTGTCAGGCATACAGCACGGGAGATACACTGTCAGACATACAGTACAGGAGATACACGTTCTGTCAGGCATACAGCACGGGAGATACACTGTCAGGCATGCAGTACGGGAGATACACTGTCACGCATACAGTACGGGAGATACACTGTCAGGCATACAGCGGGGCCCTTAAGCTTGCTGACCTGTCAGTTCTCTATAGCTAGTTTGCAATAAAATATGTTTAACTCAAGTCAAATGTATTTAAAACCTTACACAAACCAGTAGACTTAGGATCATGATAATTAGCTTACAGCATGCTTGGATTGAGGATTATTAAGTTTGCTACAAAAAAGTACCTTGACCCACATTCATGGTCACAGGTGTTAAATTTGTGAATATTTTATGATGTTAATAACTTTTAAACTTCTACTGAAAGACCACAAATTCACGCTTGATGCTATTTAGCAAGAAGTGAGCCTTGATAAAGTGTTATAAAATTTGTTCCAATCAGTAGTGGAACAAAGCAGAGTTCTGGCTCACTTTCTCCCATTGGATTAACATGGGGAAATGGTATCCTCCGAAGGGTACCCCCCTTATGGGTGGATTATACCCTATGATGTCACAGGATTTTCCGCTTTGTTGTTTAAATTTTATTTTGTGATATATTAATTGATAAATCAAGACGATATCAATGCAAGTGTATTTAATTGTCTCTGTCAATAGAACGGACGTGGGTCAGAGACCCATCCCACGTCCAGCCATACACCATAAAGCCTAACATGGACAATATTTACATTACCGAAAGTCATCTACCACCTGTTGTGTGGTATAGGGACGATCAGTATCGGGGTGTACACCCTTTCGTGGTCTTGCAATGAGACCTTTCTAGAGTAGTTTACTCTCCTACAAATCAGTTACATCTAATACGCGTTTCCATAAGATGAATAGATCCATTTCACACATAGACCCATTAGAATTGTATTTTGCTGATCACTCGCGACGCTGTGAATGTAAGTCAATCGGATGAGGGGGTTTCCAATAGGGGAAACCCCTTTTGTACACATAATCCTGTGATTGTCCCACAATCTGTAGTCTAGACATTTTACTTATAATCCTGTGAATGTCACACAATCTGTAGTCTATACATCTTACTTATAATCCTGTGATTGTCCCACAATCTGTAGTCTAGACATTTTACTTATAATCCTGTGAATGTCACACAATCTGTAGTCTATACATCTTACTTATAATCCTGTGATTGTCCCACAATCTGTAGTCTAGACATTTTACTTATAATCCTGTGAATGTCACACAATCTGTAGTCTATACATCTTACTTATAATCCTGTGATTGTCCCACAATCTGTAGTCTAGACATTTTACTTATAATCCTGTGAATGTCACACAATCTGTAGTCTATACATCTTACTTATAATCCTGTGATTGTCCCACAATCTGTAGTCTAGACATTTTACTTATAATCCTGTGAATGTCACACAATCTGTAGTCTATACATCTTACTTATAATCCTGTGATTGTCCCACAATCTGTAGTCTAGACATTTTACTTATAATCCTGTGAATGTCACACAATCTGTAGTCTAGACATTTTACTTATAATCCTGTGATTGTCCCACAATCTGTAGTCTAGACATTTTACTTATAATCCTGTGAATGTCACACAATCTGTAGTCTAGACATTTTACTTATAATCCTGTGATTGTCCCACAATCTGTAGTCTAGACATTTTACTTATAATCCTGTGAATGTCACACAATCTGTAGTCTAGACATTTTACTTATAATCCTGTGATTGTCCCACAATCTGTAGTCTAGACATTTTACTTATAATCCTGTGAATGTCACACAATCTGTAGTCTAGACATTTTACTTATAATCCCTTGAATGTCACACAATCTGTAGTCTGACATTTTACTTATAATCCCTTGAATGTCTCACAATCTGTAGTCTAGACATTTTACTTATAATCCTGTGAATATCACACAATCTGTAGTCTAGACATTTTACTTATAATCCCTTGAATGTCACACAATCTGTAGTCTG